AGGAGGAGCTCAAAAAACAAAAATGGGAACATAGGAACAGAATCTAACCTGAAAGATCTTCCAGTGCTCAATGCTGGAACTATTGGAACAAAATTAATAAAATAGTATTGGTTTATAACCCACAGAATAAAATAAATATGCATGAGTCCATACTGATGTAAATGATTAAATAAATAAAGACATGAGGGAAGAAGAGATGAAGCTTTCTTGCCAAAGAATTCCAAGTAGTATGCATACATGCTTCTGTCATAGGAAATGAGGTTTAATCTGTCTCCTCCCCCAGTCCCTAACTCAAGGGAGAGCTAGACTTAGTGACTCTCTTGTGGAGAATAGAGTAGGGAAAGGGAAAAGTAGTAACTTTACAGTGGAGAAACCTGCAAAGGATACCTTAATCAATAATGTCATATGGATATCATTTTCCTCTAATATAATATGAAAAGGCATTTACCTCTGATATAATATGAAAAGTGCCCTTTCCATATCATGAAAAGGGCACTTCAGAGCTCCATGGCGTTCTTTCCAAAAACATATAACCCTGGTGTAATCATGAAATAAACCAACAGATAAAACCAAACTGAAGAACATTTTACAGGATACTTGACCAATATTAAAACTGTCAGGATCATAAACAAGGACAGACTGAAAAGCAATCAGACCAGAGAAGATATTCTAGATCCAGTCTGGATCCTAGATGGATGCTGGAACAGAAAAAGGACATTAATGGAAAAAAAATGATAAAATCTGAATAAAGTCTGAATTTAGATAACTCTGTATTATATAAATATATCATTATCTTAATTTTGCCAAGTGTACAATAGTTATTTAAGATGTCACTGGAGGAAATAGGTAATGGAACTCTGCACTATCTTTGCAACATTTATATAAATCTAAAGTTATTCCTAAATTTCAAAAAATCTGTTTTTAAATTTTTTTACAGTTGTCAGGGGATTTGGGGTTTGTTTATTTTTTAAGTAAGCACCATACCCAGTGTGGAGCCCAATGTGGGGCTCGAGCTCACGACCCTGAGATAAGACCTGAGCTAAGATCAGGAGTTGGGCACTTAACCTACTGAGCCAGCCGGGTACTCCTAAAAAAAATCTATTTTTAAAGAAAATGTGTGCTAGATCATTGAAACTAGGTGTTCTTTTGTGGGTGTTCATTGTACTACTCACTCTACTTTTGAATAAATTTGTAGTTAAAATTTTTTAATGTTAAATTCATGAAATACAAGATTCCCTGCTTTCAAGATATTAGTAATCAAGAATGACAAAGTTTCCATGTTAAGTACTGAGACAGTAATGAATAAGGTGAACTTCATTGTCTTTAACCCTAAATGAACAACTGATATTCCTATCACATTCTACAACCTTGCTATTTAAGAACCGGCAATGTCAGTATCACCCAAGAGCTGTTTAGGAAAGCAGAGTATAAGGCTAAACTGCACAGCTACTGAATTGAAATCTTTATTTTAACAAAATCCAAATGAGCAAAATGCACATTTAAGTTTAAGAAGCACTGTTTGTAACCATATGATTGTCTGCGTTTCTAACAAATAACATCTAGAAAGGACATTCCAGGGAAAAAAATCAATGGAGATACTCCTATGAGGAATTTGCATTTGAACAGGGAGCTATTAATTGCCTCATTTTATTTATATACTAATGAAACATGGTATTTAGTCAGGATGATAACATTTAATAAAATATCATGTAGGGACGCCTGGGTGGCTCAGAGGTTGACCATCTGCCTTTGGCTCAGGGCATGATCCCACGGTCCTGGGATCGAGTCCCACATCGGGCTCCCTGCATGCACCCTGCTTCTCCCTCTGCCTGTGTCTCTGTGTCTCTCATGAATAAATAAAATAAAATTTTTAAGATTGTATAATTATTATACCTTTTTTCCTAGGCCAAGTAAGATTTTAGGGAAGAATAAAAGTGGTAAATATTCGATCTAGCCAATTCCTCAATATGGCCAGTACAAGGTAAAGAAATGGTTAGGCAAGAAATATATTACTTAATTATACTTAATATATTATGAGTGTTTATCCTGATGGTGTGACACTGAGGAATGTTGGATCTAGTTACTACTCTTTCCTTTCAAAAATTCCCACTAGAGAGACATTCAGAGAGAAATAATACATTCATCGTTACTTTCACTTTTTTTTTATATCATGCCATCTTTGAAAATACATGAATTTGGGGGGCACAACTTTGATTGAAGATATCTCTGGCTTTTTTAGCCAATAATAGGATGAAGTGCAAAAGAAATAATGTATCTGTCCATACAATAGATAATTAGCCATGGTCGTTTGTCTGCCCCAGAGAGGCTCAGACTAAAGACTGAACATCACACCCACTATCCTTGAGTTTCTCCTTGCAGGTGTAGAGCTAAGAACATGTACAAGATAGAAAAAAGAGTAAGGTGAATCCACATGTAGAACACACCCTGCAAGAAGTCTTCAAAGAGATATGAATAAGTGAAAGAGACTTAGAATTTTCAGAGAAAGCCTTATTTTCCATGATTTATCAACAAGGGCTTCTTAGAACTTGGGATGTTGATAAAAGGCAAACAAGACTGAGAAAATCTAAATTTAAGGTGAATTATAATGAATTAATACACAAATGGAAGGTGGGAAAATGAAGGCAATAAATATAGACAATTTCAGTTTAGAATCATAGTAAAATAAAAAAATATGTAACAGATTAAATGTTAGCAGAAACAGGAGAAAGGTTTGCTTGTTTTTAAGGTAAGGATGATCTTAAATGTATTTGGTTAGCCAATGGGAAGGAAATAAACATGTTTAATTAGCCAGTGGTGAGTGAAGATAAAAGGTTAGTGGAAGGAATAAAGTTCTTGAGAAGGTAAACGTAGGACAATAAATAGAAAGATGAAGATAAAGCATACAGATGATGGTTAACTTTGGAAGGGAATCAGGACACCTCTGTCTTGGAGAAGGCAGGAAAGGAGAGGAGGATCGAAGATACAATCTCAGATAAAAAGTGGGGTAATCTGAGAGTAGTGGGTTCAGAAGTGTGTCCGTGTGATTGGGATAGTCTCCTAAGTGTGGAATGGTGTGATAGGGCTACTATACAAAGATAAGACAACTCTATAATTTATGGTCTGAATGAGCACACTTCTTTGCAAATGAACAGATTATAATAGATAGGATGCTGTGTCTGCACAGCAGGTGTCATCCAGATTCTCCTGGGCAAAAATAAACAACGTGGTCACCCTAGGAAAGGAGCCACTCCCTTGTGGAGGGAGCAGCTATTAGGGAATGAATAGATATGATAGGTTCATTCAGCCTCTATGGCCCTGGGTAGCAGTGTTGCCAGTACAGGGTCAGGATCAAAGAGAGTAATAGGCTTACAGACTTAGGGAAAAAGTGAGGCAGGAATATTAGAAAGTCAAGAGAATGAGGGGTCCTGGAGCCACTGTCTTTAGAATGGCTGGCAATGATCTACTAGCTTTGTCTAATAGGGAGTCGTCTACAATGTTGGAAGTGTTCTCAAGCCACTTGCCTCATGTGGATAGTGAGCAAATGAATTATTAATTTAAAATAATTTAAGTGTAAATAGCCACATGTGGCTACCATGTTAGAAAGAACAGGTTTAGGGGCTCTTGGGTGGCTGAGTTGGCTAAGCATCTGACTTGGGCTGAAGTCATAATCTCGGAGTCCTGGGTCAGGCCCCACAACAGGGTCCCCACTCAGCAGGCAGAGCATCTGTTTCTGCCCCTCCCTCTGCTCTTGCTCTCTGTCTTTCTCTCAAATAAATAAAATCTTTAAAAAAAAAAAAAGAAAAGAAGAAAGAAAGAGAAAGGAAGAAAAAAGAAAGAAAGAAAGAAAGAAAGAAAAAGAAAGAAAGAAAGAAAGAAAGAAAGAAAAAGAAAACTGGTCTAGATTTAGTCAAGGGAAAGTGAAATGAAGAGATTAATGCACTATAAAGAAAGGGCAGCAAAAGTCAAAGACCAGGATAGGATTATATTGTGCAGTTTGTTTGTTTGTTTGATTATTTATTTATTTATTTATTTTATTTTAGAGAGAGAGCACACAAGGTGGAGGAGGGGCAGAGAGAGAGGGAGAAAGAGAATCTTAAGCAGGCTCCACGCTCAGCCGGGGTGGGGCTGGATCTTACAATTGTGGAATCATGACCTGAGCCAAAATCAAGAGTCAGCCACTTAACCCACTGAGCCACCCAGTCGCCCCTATTATGCAGATTTTAGAGTAAGCATAACTGTATTTAGTTCTGTGTGATGATGAAGCCCAAAGTGTGACAGTCCTTGATAAGAACCAAAGAAAAGAGTTGGTGGGACTTATGTGTAATGTCTAAATATCAGTAGTTGTGTGGGTGGCCCTGGAAATGATGGGAGTTAGTAGAGTCAGGGATGAAGGGTGCATTTCACATCAAAGCCTTGAGGAAAGTTATGTGGGTCCCTGAGAACATGAGATGGAGAGTTTTTGTTTTTCAGATATTAGTTGTGTTCTGAGTTACCTGGAGGAGACAGTGTGAATCCAGGAGAATGTATATTCCTGTCTCTGGGCCTGGTCATGACAGGGGGAAAAAGGGGAGAATTTAAATTTGCTTATTTTTGAGAAAAGAGGATAATAGTAATGGTGGTGTTTTTGTTTTTTTTTTTAAGATTTTTTAAATTTATTCATGAGAGACACACAGAGAGAGAGAGAGAGAGAGAGAGAGAGAGAGAGACTGACTCAGGCAGAGGGAGAAGCAGGCTCCACGCAGGGAGCCTGACATGGGACACTCGATCCCAGGTCTCCAGGATCATGCCCTGGGCTGAAGGCAGCGCTAAAGCACTGAGCCACCCGGGCTGCCCTTTTTTTTTTTTTTAAAGATTTTATTTATTTATTCAAGTAATGGTGGTGGTTAACGTTTTTTTTTTTAATGTCTATACTATTTTAGGTGGCAAGTTATTAACAAGTATTTAAACTGAATTGAGTGATAAATTATATTAAACAACAAATAAATAATTTTATTTTCCAGATCTGCTTTTACTTTGGAAATGGACTCCATTTGGAGGTAAGGAATCAAGGGGATTATTTCTGTCTTTTGGACTCAGAGGCTTAATTTCATGGATGGCATTTTGACTATGCCTTCCCAGATTAAAAATGCACATTCCCTTAGACCTAGCCATTCCCACTCAGCCAAGTGCATAGAACATAAATCCAGAGATGTTCAATGCAGCATTTTGTGACAATCTAAATGTTCATTGATAGAGTGATAAAACAATTTATGGTACATGAAGAATGTCCCTGATGAGGTAGTGAGTGAAAAATCAAGGGGCAGAATAAGATGTATAGGATAATTCTATTTTTATAGGAAAAAGAGCTTTAAACGTGTATGAACATAAGACAAGATCATTAAGCAGTTAACAGTGAAGACTCTGAAGTACAAGACAAAAAGTAGAATAAAGTTTTATATTTTATGTTATAAACTATAATGTTATTTTGCTGTTTTGCTGTATAATTTAATTTTTTAAGTTCTAGAAATATTTTTCAATTAGAAAAAAAATCAGTGACCTATTGATAACCAGTATTATGAAAAAATACATGTTATATAGAGCAACAAAATAAGTAAGATGATAAACCTAGCATAATAATCATTTCTGATCTTGGTATACTAGGTCAATTGTATTGAAGTTTTCCTTGCATAAAATGTTTATCTATTAAAGCCCAACTGAAAATATATAGAATAAATCTTTCTACTTGAGGTTCTAAAAACAAAAGATGGACAATTTAATCCTTTACCTCATCCTTTAAACAATAAATCCGGGATCCCTGGGTGGCTCAGCGGTTTGGCGCCTGCCTTTGGTCCGGGGCGCGATCCTGGGGTCCCGGGATCGAGTCCCACGTCGGGCTCCCGGCGTGGAGCCTGCTTCTCCCTCCTCCCGTGTCTCTGCCTCTCTCTCTGTGTGTCTATCATGAATAAATAAATAGATAAAAATCTTAAAAAAAAAACAATAAATCTATTAACTGACAGTTTCACTAGGTTTTAGTTAAATTGATACCACAAGTTAGTTACTAAGATTTAGTTTTAAAACATTTAATAATTCATTTTTAACCTACATATCACTACAGAAAAATGAAACTTCATTTTCGGTAAGAAAATAATTTTTTACATGCTGTATTATTTTTTAATTTGCCAATTTGTATGGTCACTCTCTTACCCTAGCCTGCTAAAGGAACAATCCACTGATCACAAGTCTTGAAAAGATCTGGTTGGCTTTATTCAATGATTAATGAATAGGGAAGCATCCAGTCTAGCAAACAGAATCTTTTTTTTTTTTTTTTTTTTGCAAATAGAATCTTTAACAATTGATCAAAGCAAGAGGGTTTAATAGACCAAAGCAAGAATAGGAAATTACCCTGAGTATTTGCTGATTGGTTAAAGCAGAGTCACTTTGGAACCGGGGCAGATAAGATAAGGTCCTGAGCAGGCAATGCCTGACGGCTTGACCTAGGCCTTTCTTTTCTGGGAGAGCCAAGCACAGAAATTTAGTTATGTTCCAATTTATTGATGCAGGGCTTAGCATAGTAGACTCCATCCTGAGTCTTCATCTGGAAACTTTAATAAGCCTTTGTAACTCTTCACTCTTGGAAGTCTTTTCTTACTGATAAACAAAACTATACTGTTCTGCTGGTTTAGAGACAATTTCTTGAATGTCTATGGAGTTTGTTAGAGTGTATGTATTTCCTCTTTGAAAATGACATCTGTTGGGATCCCTGGGTGGCGCAGCGGTTTGGCGCCTGCCTTTGGCCCAGGGCGTGATCCTGGAGACCCGGGATCGAGTCCCACGTCGGGCTCCCAGTGCATGGAGCCTGCTTCTCCCTCTGCCTGTGTCTCTGCCTCTCTCTCTCTCTCTGTGTGACTATCATAAATAAATAAAAAAATTAAAAAAAAAAAAAAAGAAAATGACATCTGTTTAAAAATATGAAATCTGGGATGCCTGAGTGACTCCCCAGTTGAGTGTCTGCCTTGGCTCAGGGTGTGATCCCAGTCCAGGGGTCAAGTCCCATACCAGGCTGCCCATGAGAGCCTGTCTCCCTCTGTCTATCTCTCTGCCTCTCTCTGTATGTCTCTCATGAATAAATAAATAAATAAAATCTTTAAAAAAAATAAACTTTATACCTTAAGATTTGCATAACTATTTTTAAAATTTTAATAAATTACAGATTATCATACTAATGTTTTAGGATACGTAATAATTTTTTGACAATATTTTATTGTTGTAGGTCTTAAACGCAAGAAATGGAAATACTCTGCTTCCTAAACACAGACACTTAGTGCGGCAAAAGCGTGCCTGGATCACCGCCCCTGTGGCTCTTCGGGAAGGAGAGGATCTGTCCAAAAGGAATCCAATTGCCAAGGTACCTTCTACCGAGAAATAGGAAATACATGTATATTATTGAGATATAGTAGGAGAAGACTTTTATGTTCATTTTTAAATTTAAGGAAAATAATATAACGTAATTAGTGAGTCTTTCCCAGTATTCTGTGTGTATTATATAATTTGGGGCTTTAATTCAACTAAGAGTTAGGGATCTAGCATCAGTTGAGTCTTTGTTTAAGAGAGGGTTTTAACACTCAAAAGAGGGTATCATATGTAGGGGACCAAAGACTATTTTTCTTGATACTTCCCCTAGGTTCACTGACTGGTGCCCTATAAATTGGACTGACAAAAGATCCACAGGAGAACAACAAACAAGTCTATTAATGTGTGTATTGCCCCTATAACATATGGGAATACGCAGAGATGAATAACTCAAAGATTTGAGTAGAATTGGGGCTTATAAAGCATCTTAGCAAAGCAATAGTAAACTTTTAGAGAAGTGCCAAGATGGAGGAAAAGGTCCTTGAATCTCAAGAGATGGTAGATTGTGGGAAGGCAAATATATGGGAAACCAGTGGTAGAAAAAGGCTAGTTAATCCAGTTTGTTTTGTGGATGCCTGGTGCAATCTCTAAGGGTCTAAAGTTATCTCTGATGATTAAATTCTATCCTGCCTGATAGAGAAGGGAAGGAGAACGCCTTTACAAATTTATGTCCTGCTTTTAGACACATAGAGGAAGCACAGAGAACTTTTCCTAAATCTGCTTTTCAATTGCCTTCAGCTCAAAATAATCCTACCCCAAAGTCACATATTTGAGGATGGCATATCCTACCACCCTATATATAAAAAATAATTTTCAAAGTGAAAAGAACTGGTATCTAATAGGGAGGATGACCATATATCCTTGGTTTATACCCATTGTCCTGGCCTAATAATTAATAACTCCCTTTCACCCTCAAAGTGTCCTATTTTTTGATAAATTCGATGGTAATCCGACTAGTATATACCTCAGACTTAGCATGTGCCAACCTGAGCCCTTGATTGTTCCCCTAAAGCTGTCCTCCATCAGTTCTACCCATATCAGTCAATGGCACTATAATTCTAGCCAGTTTTTCAAAAATGTAGCAGACACTATCAGTTCTGCCTCCGGAATATATTCCAAATCTGCTCACTTCTCTCCCGTATCATCCAGGTTAACGTGATCTCTGGCCTGCCTTGTCTGCCTGCTTCGCTCTTGCCGTCCCTCACCCTGCCACAGTCCATTCTCCAGAGATCAGCCAGAGTGATCTTTTAAAAAGACAAATCAAAGCATGTTCATCCCCTTAGTGAAATTATTTCAATGGTGTCCTGCTACAGTGGAAGGAATATTCTTTACTCTGTCCTATAAGAGCTCTTATACAAGACCTCCTCCCTAACATCAGCTCCTATCACCCCCCATCTCCCACTTCGTACATCCCTAAGTCAACACAAACTCTTTCCAGCTCCTCACCCTTTGCCCTTGCTGCTCCCTGTGCCTAGAATCCCCTCTCCACAGATACTTGCAATATCTCATGGCATCAAGCCTCTGCCCAAGTGTCATCCCCCAAAAGAATTCCCTTTTCTGCCTCACCCCATCCATTTACTCCTGTTTCAGCGTGGTTTATAGTGCATTCCACTGTGTGACATGCCATACATTGCTTACTTGTATGGCTCCCTTAGTAGAGTGTCAGCTCCCTGAGGGCTTCTATGAAGTCTGTTGAAGAAAATTAAGGAACCAGTAGGGGGCCACAAAAACACATTTACTAATGAAGAATTACAGACACAAAATGAAATTGTTTATAGAAAAAGATGACAACTACAAAAGACAGTAGAAATGGGTTAGATGCATGAATTTCCTGAGGTATTCCAACCAAGGAAGGTGCTTGACTTTTTTAATCCTTCTGTAGAAGGATGCCTTAGTCTTACTTTCCAAATGATCAAATGGATTTATAAAGGTGATTTTGACTCTCCAATTTTTACCTCATATGCTAACTATAAACTTTTTAAAAAAATTTTTAGAGAGAGGTTTGGTGGGGAGGGACAGAGATCAAGGAAGATCAAGGAAGAAGAGAATCTCAAGCAGACTCCATGCCCATCACAGAGCCTGACATTGGGCTTTATCTCATGACCCTGAGATCATGTCTTGAGCTGGAATCAAGAGTCTGATGCTTAACTGACTAAGCCAGCCAGGTGCCCCTCCTCAGGTTGCTAAATTTAAAATCTGTCCTCCTAAAATATTCCCCTAATGATATCTTTGTTTCATAGCAACCCTAAGAGGTAGGCAGTAGTAGTTCTCTACTTTACAGATAGGAACACTGAGGCACAGAGTGGTTAAGTACCTCTTAGTAACCAGTAAGTGGCTGAGATAAGATTTGAATCCAGGTTGGCTAACATCAGCACATCTTCTCTTGAGTGTCCTCCCTACCCTCCCATTAAAAATATGTGTTACAGAGAGTTTAATGTGGGGCATTCTTCTGTTATTTTTATGTTAGATACATTCTGATGTGGCAGAAGAAAGAGGACTAAAGATTACATACAAATACACTGGAAAAGGGATCACAGAGCCACCTTTTGGTGTGTTTGTCTTTAATAAAGACACGGGAGAATTGAATGTTACCAGGATTCTTGATCGAGAAGAAACACCAAGTTTTCTGGTAAGAACAGTTTTACGTTAATTAGTTTGCAGTTCTTCTTTGGTAATAGTTATGATTGTTTTGTTTTTATATTGTGATAATTTAATTACCTTAGCTTACATTTAATCTATTATTTATGTCATGATTTCAGCTAATTGGTTATGCTTTGGATGAAAAAGGAAACAACCTCGAGAAACCATTAGAACTCCGCATTAAGGTTCTTGATATCAATGACAATGAGCCAGTGTTCACACAAGATGTCTTTGCTGGGTCTATTGAAGAACTGAGTGCAGCAGGTTAGAGTTGGTTAATTTTATGAATGAGTATCCCTAGTCATGTAAACCCCATTGTGTAACTGAACGCTAAATCCTGTATCTTGATGGACGTTAAGTACTACCTGCAGGATAAATGGTAATAAACTTATCACTCTAGGTTTGGAACTGCTTTTTCTGTGATAAGTTCAAAAGACTTTACCTGATATCTTTTTTATCTTCAGAACAAATATGGCAGATCAATGTGACGGGTTAGGTCTCCATAGCAACTATCCTGCCTTGTAGCTAGAAAGCAACCATAGACAACATATAAACAAATGATTGTGTGGCTGTGTGCCCATAAAATATTATCAGAAATAGGTGGCTGGCTGGCTTTGGCCTACTGGCAGTACTTTGCTGACCTTTGATTTACGTTATTTCTGTTGTCAGGCTTATTGATGACATGGTCCAATGCGGTGGTCTATGTGAAGACTTACAGAAAAGATTTTTCTTTGATAATAATATAAAGAACAGCTATTGCTTCTCCTGAATTGTTTGTATTTTAATAAGCATGTATTTGTTCCTTCTTCTTTCTTTGTGTTGATTATTAGACCTATTATAATTGAAATTTGTAGCCTTCCTGTAGGAAGTGTTCAGGACTTCACCGTAAGACTTATCTGTACTAATGTCAGCCTTGCCCTCTTCTTATCTTTCCCATTTCTTTTTTTTTTTTAATAGTTTTTTTTTTATTTACTTATGATAGTCACACACAGAGAGAGAGAGAGAGAGGCAGAGACACAGGCAGAGGGAGAAGCAGGCTCCATGCACCGGGAGCCTGATGTGGGATTCGATCCCGGGTCTCCAGGATCGCGCCCTGGGCCAAAGGCAGGCGCTAAACCGCTGCGCCACCCAGGGATCCCATCTTTCCCATTTCTGCACTTCATTCACACTTACATTCTAATCCAATTAAAGTTTTTGGTCTTGATAAACTCTGATTTTGATAAGCCTTTGAAATAAATCCTTTTGGGAACAGGCTGAAATTATAGAGAGAATAATAACTTACATAACTGTGCTTAAAGTTGAGTTTCATCTTGGACATATTTGTTTCTAATGCCAGATACCCTTGTGATGAAAATCAGTGCCACAGATGCAGATGAGCCCAATACCCTGAATTCTAAAATTTCCTACAGAATTGTGTCTCAGGAGCCTACTTATCCACCAGTGTTCTACCTAAATAAAGACACAGGCGAGATTTATACAACCAGTTTCACATTGGACAGAGAGGTAAATTAGTGTTTTATGTGGTTTATTTTTTAAACTCTATCTTTTTAGCTTTTCCTTTCTCTTTATTTCTTTTCTAATTTTCTTGCTTTCTTATATATTCCTCATGTATAGGATAACTCCTAAAAATGCCCTCTTCTAATGATGTGCAGTCCAATATGGCAGCCATTAGCCATATGTAGCCATTGAACACTTGAAATGTGATTCATCCAAATTGAGATATGCTATAAATCTAAAAAAGTCACCCAGATTGAAGAGATTTAGCATGAATAAAAAATGTAACATACCACCTTAGTAATATTCTGTTGATTGCATGTTGACACAGTAATATTTTAGATACCATGGGTTAAATAAAATTCATTTAAAATTAGTAGCATCACCTCTTTTTTTTTTAACTTCAAAAGTTGACTGTTAGAAAAATTAAAATTACATAAGGACAGCACTGTTCTAGGGCCTCTCCAGTCAGGATTCTGTTTCCTAGAGTGTCCTAAAGCAATGTCCTGTGATTTGTGCTCCTGTAATGAAACTTCGGGAGTCTCCTCGACTGCTAATACAGATATATAGGGAAGAACAAAGACTGAGGTAGGAGTCCTACTTAGGATAATAGAAATATTCATAAAAGATTGTTGTAAATCCCAAACTGGAGGAAAATCTCAGTAGGTTTCCTGGGCAGGCTATTCTCAAAAGGCTATTCACTTTTTAATTTCTAACTCAAAGGGAAAATTTTGGATGAAAACAGGAAATAGAAGACTTTTTAAATGCTACATATGTGAAGGTCTTAACAGTAGAATGCCAGTAGAATGTTGATGATCTTAACACTGTATTGTCATCAAACATAAGTCATGGTCTAGGTACAGTGACTATATTTTGTATTACTTAGGAAAATGATTTCATTTTCCCCAGAAAGGGAGAAGATTGTGCCCAACATTGCTAACAAGATCTCTGTAAAATTAAAGAATATTATTATTCCTAATATTCTACTCCACCTTTTCACATAAAATTAGAATGGAAAAGTATTATTTTTAATTATCCTGATTTTTTATAAGCTGCTGTCTAATGAAGTATGGCAAGTTTAGGCAATAATAAACAATGTCTGGTCCTTATTGGGCATTTACCATGTCCCAAGTGCTACTGGAAGCCTTTTACATAGATTAATCCATTTAATCCAACTAAAAACTATATGAGGCAGATCTAGTTATTATCCCCATTTTGCACAGAAGGAAACCAAGGGTCAAAAGGATTAAGTGTATATCCAACACAGCTAATAAGTTACAAAGACAGAATTGGAAGCCAAGCAACTGGCTCCAGAGCCTCAGTTATCCTATTACTGAGCAGTTCAGTCCCACATAGGACCCCCATACATTGGCACTGGCTGACCCCCATTTTTTCTTAAACTCCAACTATACTGAATGAAGCCATCATAAGGGGACCACATGGAAGATAAGGACTCACTTTGGAGTGGCATGTAAGACCTCATTCTCTAGGACAGGTTCTCTAAGAATCATCTCTCTCAGAATGTCTGGACAAAATCAACCACATTTTGTCTTCACTGGCCAAGTTTTCTTGGGGACTAGGTTTTTCTTGCTTAATTTCTGGCTGAAAATGAAGAAAGAACCAATTCCTATAGTCTCCTCCTTCCCCATCACTTCCATATAGAGCAAACTACATTTTGAAGGGCACTTCTTTGTGCACAGACTATTTTAATGAGAGACTCATTTCCTGATAATGTTACCAATGACATATTTAGGAATTTGACTACCAACAACTTCTCTAGGCCTTCCTGGCCTTCTAGAAATGCTCAGACGGCAAATAAACAGCATCTTCACATGAATAACAGATCATAAAACTTACTTATGAATAAGATACCCTGTGGTTCATTCTCTTGATGATGAAGAGAACTAAAAAGAAGATTTGGGAGTGGCTCATTTTCACCCCAGACGGATATTTTTCATTGCCTTGCAGGAACACAGCAGCTATACTTTGACAGTGGAAGCAAGAGACGGCAATGGACAAATAACAGATAAACCAGTAAAACAAGCTCAAGTTCAGATTCGTATTTTGGATGTCAATGACAATATACCTGTAGTCAAAAATGAAATGGTAACTATTATTTTTATAACAAACATATCTATTTACTCACATTTTAGTCCTAACTAAAAATAATATCACTTAAGTTTGTGCTACATTAAAATAAAAATCTGATTTTTATGTTTTACAGAATGAAGGGGTGGTTGAAGAAAACCAAGCCAATGTAGAAGTTATGCGCATAAAGGTGTTCGATGCGGATGAAATTGGCTCTGATAATTGGTTAGCAAATTTTACAATCGTATCAGGAAATGAAATGGGTTATTTCCACATAGAAACTGATACTCAAACTAATGAAGGAATCGTCACCCTTATTAAAGTAAGTACTTATTGTTCAAAATTGGCATGGGAAAAGTTGGTGAAGAAGAAGTGATTGTATTTGGAGCGTCAAGCGCTTAAAAGTGCTTTACATACTCAACCTACACAACTATTTGAGATTGCAGACTTCCCTATTTGCCCAAGTTCTGTAGTTAGTAAATGGTCACACTACAGTCCAACTTCAGATCAGGGGCCTCGAATCCTGATCTGATAACATGATACCAGCAACATTATTGTTCAGCATACTTTCTGTCTTGCTTGCATCCTGTGCCTGACTAGAACATCCTTACATCATGACCTCTTGCATCTACTAAGTATCCCCAATTTACTATCTCTTATTTGATCAACTTAACATAAAGCCAGACCTCACTAATAGCATCTAAAAACAAAAGCTGTAATAACTCGACAAAGCTTGAATCCAGTTGTCCTCATACTTAAATAAGAGTCACTTTGTAAAGTTACATGTCCCAAATGCAGATTCCTGGGCCCTGTCCTCAAATCCAATGGGGTAGAGCTCAGGAACTTGCCTTTATAACAGAAATCCACTTGTGACTGTAATATAAGTAGTATGAGGAACACATTAAACCTAGTGTTCTAACTTCTTGTGCTTAATTGAACCAATGAAAGGAAAATAATCTTATTAAGTATCTAGGTCTTATACATTTGAAATGTATTACCCTCACAGAATTTTTTAAACAAAAATCTAGGATGGATTTTTATCTAACATTATAAGTAAGGAAAAATATCAATGTATTTTTAAATGGCATATGATAGGACAGCCTGGTGGCTCAGTGATTTAGCGCTGCCTTCAGCCTAGGGCCTGATCCTGGAGACCCAGGATCTAGTCCTATGTCGGGCTCCCTGCATGGAGCCTGCTTCTCCCTCTGCCTGTGTCTCTGCCTCTCTCTCTCTCTCTCTCTGTGTGTGTGTGTGTGTGTGTCTCTCATGAATAAATAAATAAAATCATAAATAAATAAATAAATAAATAAATAAATAAATAAATAAATAAATGGCTTATGATAGAATTGCCTTACCAGATTTTGAAATAAAATGCAAAGCTACAGCTTTCTTTTTTTTTTTAAAGCTACAGCTTTCAAAATACTATCCCATTAAGTCATATACAGACAAAAATTGATTCCAGAAGTTTCTAAACTTTTACAAAAACTTAAATATGACAAAGTAGGTAAAGTCTAACCATAGGAAGAGGAATAATGATAATATAAATCTATAACAGAATAGAGAAATATTAACCTGAACTTTCATGATAATAATTATGTGCACCATGCATTAATAGACTATTATATGCGCTTAGACTACCACTTTGTAAAGCAGAGGAATATAGAATAAGATCACCTCAAGTTTAAAGGGAAGACACAATTTATTATTATGCAAGAAGTGGATAATGGCATCAGAGACAAATAGATTTGCCTGCTTATATAGAAGTAAGGGATCCTCTTACTCATAGAAGTTACAACCTTGCTAGATGCTTACTATAAAAAGCCAGTAACACACCAGGAGAAAGTTACTTAGTGATGAACCATAGAAGTACTGAAAGTATTCTCACTGTACCATGGTAGCACAAAAAGGGATATAGTTATTTCTACTAAAGGGGGCATAGCAAAAAATAGTAAAATTAGCATTAAAGTGACAACAGCAGATTGAGAATGTTATAAATTGACTGATTTGTATAAAGAATTTTTTCTGGGACGCCTGGGTGGCTTAGTGGTTAAGCATCTGCCTTCATCTCAGGTTATGATCCCGGGGTTGGGATTGAGTCCTGCATCAGGCTCCCCAAAGGGAGCTTGCTTCTCCCTCTGCCTATCTCTCTCTCTCTCTCTCTCTCTCTCTCTCATGAATAAATAAATAAAATCTTTTTTAAAAAAAAAAAGGACAACTTGGAAGATAAAGTATGTATTCAGTGATAAACTGACTATATCAAATGTACTTTATAAGTTTCACAAAGAACAGATTATTTGGAGGAAGGTTATTCTTTTATGGAATTAATAGCAAACCAGATATTAATAGACATTATGCTAAAAAAGGGTGGGAAGTAGGTTCTTTGTTTAAATACATTTGCAAACCCTGGGTTTAGGAAAGTTAAGCCAGCTTTTTGGTATGCTAATGTGCAGTGTAAGTCTATACTAAGGAAACAACTGGCAGTGCTACCACTAGGCATGTGACCCTTTTCACTAGAACAAACCCATAGAACACATTTTAAGGAATATTATATTGTATGTCCATTAACTTTTTTCAGTAAAGTTAAAAAAAATCACTTCAGATTATTAAATATATATGTTTGTGTGTGTATATATATAAAATATATTTTAAATAATTTGGACTTAAAAAAATAAAATTGGGGATGCTCCCTAAATCATCCTTAACATTTATGAATATCCAAATTGACAGACTTTTTAATTTCTTGGTATCGATAGGAGTTAGAATACTGAGTGCTACTCTCTTCTCCATATGTTAAACTGTTATGTCTAACATTAAAACTAAACTGAGTGTGTATGTATGTTCTATGTATGTTCTAGTTGTTTTCTCTTTTGAAAGAATTCCCTTTGATTTTTGTCTTCCTAGGAAGTAGATTATGAAGAAGTGAAAAATCTTGATTTCAGCATTGTTGTCACTAACAAAGCAGCTTTTCACAAATCAGTCAAGAATAAATATAAGCCTACATCCATCCCCTTCAAAGTAAAGGTGAAAAATGTGAAAGAAGGTATTCATTTTAAAAGTAGCACTGTCTCCGTTCATGTTAGCGAGAGCATGGATAAATCAAGCCAAAGCCAGATAATTGGAAAATTTCAAGTTTTTGACGAAGACACTGGACAACAAGCCCATGTAAAGTAAGAGATAGTTGTGAACATATTTCCTTACTTTAAATTACTTGAATGCCTGTCTTCAAAAAATCATAATGAAATTTCCATACTTCATTCCGTTCCTCCCAGCATTGTAATCCCCCAAAGGTCTGGAGATTAAATTTTCCAGAGTTGTACCTGCAACTGAGAGGCAGGGAGAAATTTCCTCCCAGACCATCTTCTCTCCACCAGTTGAGTGTGAGGCAGAGTGTGTGCTTCACCTCAAAGTAATTCAGGCTAGGGAAAGCAAAAAAACAACAAAGATAAAGTTCAGAAAGACACTTACTGTCTTATTCTGTCTACACCTGTCTTACTTCCTGAAAGAGTATTAGAAGTAAGAAAGTGGCAAATAAATTTTCCATATACCAGTTGTTGGGTAATTAAATTCCTCTTCAACGGTTTACCGCAGATTTAAAATGGGAGACTAAAAAATAAAAAAATAAAAAATAAAATGGGAGACTAGACAACAGAGCAACTTGCAAACTTTCTGGGTTTGTAGGCAAGAAACGGTCACCCTGGCATATATCTTGGGTATGTTATAGAAACATGGAAGGTTCCCAAAAAGTGCAATATGCAAGAAAGAGTAAAGAGAGGGAACTTTTAGGACAGCTTCAAGAAATTAAAGACATTTCAAACTAATGCCTAAAACAAGAACACAGATAATGAACCATTAATTAAGCTTGAAAGAGTTGTAGATGATGAGAGATTATCACCTTATCCACAAATGAAAATTAATTTTATGTTTATTTTATAACAGATATGCCAAATTGGAAGATATAGACAACTGGATCTCTGTGGATTCTGTTACATCTGAAATTAGACTTGTAAAAATTCCTGATTTTGAATCCAGATATGTCCAAAATGGTACATACACTGCAAAGATTTTGGCAATATCCGAAAGTAAGTTATTAAATACACTTTTTTCTTGGCTGATATATGTATCTAAATATTACTTTGTAACATCCAAGACCTTCATTTTGTTCTTGTAGGAAAACCAAGTCTCTCCAATGGGCAAACCTTCACATTTCTACTCATTTAGCAGATTAAAAAACATGACTTGATCTGAGTATTAAAACGTATCTAAGATAAGAAGTGCCACAGTTTGTTAGGACCTTCTCCTTTCCAAACCGGAAAAAGAATTCAAATGATGTCTGTTGTCAGCAATAGAGGCAATACATACATATTTTTTCTTTCTTATTTTTAAGGTTATCCAAGAAAAACCATCACTGGCACTGTTGTTATCACAGTGGAAGACATCAATGACAATTGTCCCACACTGGTCGACCCTGTGCAAAATATCTGCGATGATGTGCAGTATGTGAATGTGACCGCAGAGGATCTGGATGGACCCCAAAACAGTGGGCCTTTCAGTTTCTCCATCATTGACAAACCGGCTGGAATGGCAGAAAAATGGCAAATAGTGCACCAAGATAGTAAGCAAAATCATTGGACTACATTTTTCAATACTAAACATGAGAGAAATCTAAAATCAATGTAATATAGGCTGTGCTTTTTTTTTTCCATAAATTATATTTCCGATACAATTTTGTATGGAAGTTTCTAAAATAAGGTTCTGAAGCTCAGGTATGGTGTCTTTCATCAGCCTATAGTAAATACCCCATTTGGAGTAACCAAAGAGAGAAGAAAAATAACCCGATGTTGTAAAGATAGCTGAGTATTCCCTAAATCGCTCTTGAAATAGTTGTTTTGTCTTGTAAGCTGAGGTGTACCTTTCCTATCTAAGCACAGCAATCAGAATAGATGGCTTCTAAAATCTTAAGCTATGATAACAATTCCATTGAAATAATGTCTGTGGATCACTTACTGTGTACGAGGCACACTGCTGGCCCTTCGTAGGCATTATCTCATTTAATCCTTTCATCTATAACATTATGTCCTGATTACAGCTGAGGAATCTTAGCTTAACCAGAATTAAGTAGCTGTTCAGAGTCATAAAGTGGGTAAGTGATGGACACAGTATGAAGAAGGGTCTCTCTAGCCCCCACCCATCCCAGGTGGCCATGTGCATACATCCATGTTTTAGATGTACTCTCTTTGTCAATGTAGCTTTTGGGTGTTCTTCAGGGTGGTTCTGAATACCACAGACTATCCAGGAGACTCTTTTGTTTTAAACAATTAGTGTTCATTTTAGAAAAGTTTCAAATATAATACCCCAGCTTTTTTTGGTTAACAAGTTTATTGTTATTTTAAATCTAAGAAATTTTTATAGCCATTTTAAGAAGCATTAAATAACACATTTGGTCCAGTCTACAGAGCAAACAAATACCGTCAACATCTCAAAATACATTTATAAATTTAGTATATTTTGTTTTTTGCCAATGTATTTCAATGATCTGAATTAACAGGTCAAATGCATTACCTCACTTCTTGTGATCCCTATACTCTAAAATTCCAATAAATGTGACTCATAAATATACTGAACCTGAAATCCTCCTCAGTGGTCCACTACCGAACAAATCATTGATATTCCAGTCTACAGCTATAAGGCCAAATCAGTACCATAATCACACATTTTAAATCGGAGTTACAAAGCTGTCATGTTAATAGGGCTAATTTTCCTAAAAGTGATGCATGTATAAAAACACAGTAACAACACAATTTCTGTATGATACAAAAATATTAAAACCATGTCTTTAATTTGCTTTAAAGAAACTAACTTTAAATCTTCTTAAGGGTTTATGTACTCACTGGCAGAAGACAGTTATTCTCTCAATTAACTAAAGTTGCCTCGCTCTGAGGACGACAGTCACCAACCTGATTCATGGAGGCTACTTTCAATCAAGTTTTTAGCTAGCATGAGCCCTGGCTGGTAGACATCCAGGTAATTCCTCTTAGGATAATTAAGTCACAGGCCTCAAAACTTTAAAAGTGGTTGGTCTCCTTGTTCAGTGTCTAATTCCATATTCACAGAACTCTAGGAACTCCCATCTAGGCTGAATACTTGATTGGAGCTGGCCTTTCTTTGACTAAGATGTGTAAACGTGTTTTGCATTGAACTTACTGAGTTTCCAACTCTTCTTTCTATCTAAGAAATATATGATGTTTGGGAGATGCCAGACACTGTCCTAAGCACTTTGCTCATGGTTACCCCCTTAGAAGTTTAGCCCTCCTGTCACCAGCATTTTACAGATGAAGAAAGAAAGGTACAGAGAGTCTCTTAACATTCTCAAGGTCACATCTAAGTAAAATTTGGGACTAGGATTTGACCCCAGTTAGTCTAGCTCAGGCGTCTTTCCAGATATGTAGATAAGTTTTCTAGCTTAAGATCAAGATGTTTGGATTCGATGGGTCTCTGAATTTTTTGTAGTCTTAGGAACGTGAAACTCTTAAGGACATGCACGTTGAGTGTTATTAGAGGAAGTCACTGAGATTTATACTCTATATATCTAGACACTTTTTTTTGTTTTGTTTTATATCTAGACACTTTAAAGAGAGATGATTCCATAAACTGTGCTCTCTTCTCCTTGGTTACATAATTAGGTGATCAGTCAACTGTCATGATAATAAATAGCTCCTATCTATTTTTATTTGGGAAAAATTTAAAGCACAGAAAATCCCAGTGCCTAATATGGCAGACATCTTTGTACCTGCCACTTAGAATTAAAGGAATATTAACTGGTTCTCATATTTGAATGAGACCTCTTTTTTTTTTTTATAATAGGTAAGATAAAAGTCCTCTTTTTGCCTTTTCTCTCCTCCACTTGCCCTCTCCGAGCCAATCATGAATTTAATTATGTTCTTCTTCCCGGTTATGTTTTCATGGATTTTTTTTTTCCGTGAATTTATACTCCTTTAAATGATTAGATCCTTTTTTCTCACTTCTCCAAAGCTTTAAGGATGATTTAATAAGTAGATTCTACCCATGCAAATCAAACTTCATAAAATTTGGACCTTAAGATGAAAAGAAGCTGTTTCCTACTTCCAAAAATAAATAAAACAACAAAACAAAACCCAAACACTCACTTTTAATTTTTGTATCCATCCAGGTTTACATAACTTGCAAGTTTATTATTTTTATATAAATGCTATGAATATGTAAGGATAATTTTTAAGCTCTTAGATAACTGATCATTATTTTTACTCGTGTAACTGGTCATTATTTTTATTAAAGTAAAGGAAAAATTTGAAAATAATCGTCAGTCACATTTAAAAAAAAATAAGATAAAAGGTCATTCATACAATGCTTTGTGTCGTGTTATTGCCAAAACGTATAACCTGAATCCAATCATGAGGAAGTCATCAGACAAATTCAAACTGCGGAGCATCCTTTAAAATAAACGGCCTTCAAAAATGGCAAGGGCATGAAGGCTGAAAAAAAAAAAAAGGTGGGACTGATCTAGATCATTCATAGAGATTAGGGTGACAACTAAAGGCAATGCATAATTCTTGATAGACTTCAGGATCAAGAGAAAAAAACAACAAAGAACTATCAAGGGCATTTTTGCAATAATTGAAAAGTTTGACTATGGGTTATATCAATACTAAATTTTTTTTGAGAGGGCTAATGTCCCTTGGTCTTAGATATATGCTGATGTGTATCATAATATCCACAACTTACTTTCAAATACCTCAGAAAAAAGTGTGGGATAGAAAGTATTGTAATAAAATGTAAACAAGAAAAAAAATAAATAAAATAAAATGTAAACAAGTCATAAAGGGTATATTGATATTTATTGTAATATTCTTTTTTAAAAAAGATTTTATTTATTTATTCATGAGAGACACAGAGAGAGAGAGGCAGAGACACAGGCAGAGGACAAAGCAGGCTTCTCCCAGAGAACTCAGTGTAGGACTTGATCCCAGAACTCCAGAATCACGCCCTGAGCTGAAGGCAGACACTCAACCACTGAGCCACCCAGGCGTCCCTTATTGTAATATTCTTACAGTTTTTCTGTAGATTTGAAATTTTTCAAAATTTTGAATGTATTGTGATATAATGTCAGTAACAAAATGGGAGGAGGGACTAAATGAAATGAGATTGGCCTAATACTGAAAGTTGTCAAAACTGGGGACAGATACCATGAGGGTTAACTACAGCCTTCTATTATTGTCTGTTTGAAAATTTAACAGAGTTTTTTAAGAAATGGTAAAATAAAGGTCTTTTAATGGAAATGTCACTTAAGTTACTACATATTTGTTACTATATTCCCCATACATAGAACTTTTCCTAGCATTTGGTGGACATCACACATACTTGTTAAATTAATCATCATAAAAGGAAAATGTGTCCAAATCTGATCCTTTGCTGTTAACCTGCCTTTTGGGGGTAGTCTGGACTAATTTTAGCAAGCACACCGTGTGAATTCAATAGAGAAGTTAAGCAATAATAAAGCTTCTAACTGGAGCTAACTACTATCAGCAATTAAAGAATGTTTCTCTTTACCTCTTCCTTGGTAATCACCCATTTTTATTTCCTTTTGCTCCCTACCCTTGCAGGTACCAGTGTGCTACTGCAACAAAAAGAGCAAAAGCTTGGGCGAAGTGAAATTCAGTTTCTGATTTCAGATAGTCAGGGCTTCAGTTGCTCTGAAAAGCAGGTGCTTCAGCTCACAGTTTGTAAGTGTCTGGATGGCAGTGGTTGTGTAGAACCTCTGCGTGGCACATATGTTGGCCTGGGACCCGCCGCAATTGCACTAATAATTTTTGCCCTTCTGCTGTTGCTACGTAAGTATTTTTTTTTATTTTTTTTTTTATAAATTAATTTTTATTGGTGTTCAATTTACCAACATACAGAATAACACCCAGTGCTCATCCCGTCAAGTGTACCCCTCAGTGCCCGTCACCCATTCACCCCCACCCCCCACCCTCCTCCCCCTCCACCACCCCCAGTTCATTTCCCAGAGTTAGGAGTCTCTATGTTCTGTCTCCCTTTCTGATATTTCTCACACATTTCTTCTCCCTTCCCTTATATTCCCTTTCGCTATTATTCATATTCCCCAAATGAATGAGAACATACACTGTTTGTCCTTCTCCGGTTACTGTGGCCAAGTTAAAAAAGGGTGTTGCCTGAGTTCTTCTCTGGGATTTTGATGGAATCTTGTCTCACATTTAGATCTTTCATCTATTTTGAGTTTATCTTTGTGTATGGTGCAAGAGAGTGGTCCAGTTTCATTCTTCTGCATGTGGATGTCCAATTTTCCCAGCACCATTTATTGAAGAGACTGTCTTTCTTCTAGTGGATCGTCTTTCCTCCTTTATCGTATATTAGTTGAGCATAAAGTTCAGGGTCCACTTCTGGGTTCTCTGTTCTGTTCCATTGATCTATATGTCTGTTTTTGTGCCAGTACCACACTGTCTTGATGAACACAGCTTTGTAGTACAACCTGAAATCTGGCATTGTGATGCCCCCAGATATGGTTTTCTTTTTTTAAAATTCCCCTGGCTGTTCGGGGTCTTTTCTGATTCCACACAAATCTTAAAATAATTTGTTCTAAGTCTCTGAAGAAAGTCCATGGTATTTTGATAGGGATTGCATTATACGTGTAAATTGCCCTGGGTAACATTGACATTTTCACAATATTAATTCTGCCAATCCATGAGCATGGAATATTTTTCCATCTCTTTGTGTCTGCCTCAATTTCTTTCAGAAGTGTTCTGTAGTTTTTAGGGTATATTTTGAGAACCATTTGAATGGTAAATGGTTCTCCAACCTTTTATTTTCAGGTTGTAGGTGTCCTTCTGTCTAAAATGAGTCTTGTAGACAGCAAATAGATGGGTCCTGTTTTTTTATCCAGTCTGAAACTCTGCGCCTTTTGATGGGGTCATTAAGCCCATTCACGTTCAGAGTTACTTGAACTTCTTCTTAAAGGGGAGTTTTAAGAGTCCCCCTTAAAATTTCTTGCAGAGCTGGTTTGGAGGTCACATATTCTTTCAGTTCCTGCCTGTCTTGGAAGCTCTTTATCTCTCCTTCCATTTTGAATGAGAGCCTTGCTGGATAAAGTATTCTTGGTTGCATGTTCTTCTCATTTAGGACCCTGAATATATCCTGCCAGCCCTTTCTGGCCTGCCACGTCTCTGTGGAGAGGTCTGCTGTTACCCTAATATTCCTCCCCATGAAAGTCAGGGACTTCTTGTCTCTTGCTGCTTTAAGGATCTTCTCTTTATCTTTGGAATTTGCAAGCTTCACTATTAGATGTCGAGGTGTTGAACGGTTTTTATTGATTTTAGGGGGGGATCTCTCTATTTCCTGGATCTGAATGCCTGTTTCCCTTCCCAGATTGGGAAAGTTTTCAGCTAGGATTTGTTCAAATACATATTCTGGCCCTCTGTCCCTTTCGGCGCCCTCGGGAACCCCAATTAAACGTAGGTTTTTCTTCCTTAGAGTGTCATTTATTTGCCTTAATCTGTCTTCATGGTTCTTTAATTGTTTATCTCTTTTTTCCTCAGTTTCCCTCTTTGCCATTAACTTGTCTTCTATGTCACTCACTCGTTCTTCCACCTCGTTAACCCTCGTCGTTAGGACTTCTAGTTTGGATTGCATCTCATTCAATTGATTTTTAATTTCTGCCTGATTGGATCTAAATTCTGCAGTCATGAAGTCTCGTGAGGCCTTAATGCTTTTTTCTAGAGCCACCAGTAGCTGTAGAATAGTGCTTCTGAATTGGCTTTCTGACATTGAATTGTAATCCAGATTTTGTAACTCTGTGGGAGAGAGGGCTGTTTCTGATTCTTTCTTTTGAAGTGAGGTTTTCCTTCTAGTCATTTTGCTCAGTGCAGAGTGGCCAAAAACAAGTTGTATTGGAACACGGGGGAGTATCACTGGTCCCTCTAGCTGGACTTCTGGGGGAGGGGCCTGTTGCGCTGATTCTCAGGTGTTAGCACTTGGGGGAGCTGCTCTGCCCCTGCCTGCTGCAGGGCTCAGCGGGGGTTGTTTACCCCGTGAGGTCTCAGGAGGAACAGTTGCAGTTGCTATGGCAACTCTGGAAGCCTGGATTCAGCCTCCGCAGGAACTACGGGGCTCGGGGCTCTCGGTTCTCCGTCCGCAGGGCCTGGAGGCTCCGGGGCGGGGCCGCTGATCTGCTCAGCTCGGGGCAGGAGCGTCCTTGCTGTCCTGGGCCCTCCCGGCCTCTGCCTGTCCCGGGGGGAGGCCGGATCCTGGGCTGTGTCCCGGCGCCCTGTGCTCCGGGGCCTGTGTTGTTGGATTTGCGCTCCCGCCCCGCAGCTCCCTCCCTGGAGCCGCTCCCGAGCCCCTCCGAACTGCTCCGGTGCTTAGGGAGCTCGGCGCACTCTCCCGGGGCGCAGGTGTCTGTTAGTGTCCCCGGGAGCCCGAGGGCATCCCCGCTCTCCTGGGTCCTGCTCCAACTCCCTGCGAGCCCCTTTCCGCCCGCCCGGGAAGGTTGGTGCAGCTCCTGCTCCTCCGGGACGGGGCTCTCCTGTCCTGGGGACACTCGCCCCGGCCTCAGCCCGGCTCCTCGCGGGGCCCCTCCCCCTCGGAGGCCTTTTGTTTCTTTATTTCTTTTTCCCCGTCTTCCTACCTTGATAGAAGCGCGGACTTTTCTCACTGTAGCATTCCAGCTGGTCTCTCTTTACATCTCAGGCCGAATTCGTAAATTTTCAGGATGGTTTGAAGGTTATCTAGGTAATTTGGTGGGGACAGGTGATTTGGGGACCCTGCTCTTCCGCCATCTTGCCCCTCCCCCCCGCTACGTAAGTATTTTAAAAGCCACTCTTTAGCTCATCTAGTAATTTCCATGCACTACCAGTGTTTGGTTACGGTAGTTAGTAGTCACTGATTTCTGTACAGTGATTCTTTAACCGCACTAGAACACTTCGAGGGTGATTAGGGAAACAATAAGTGATCATTGATAAATTCACCAAAGATGATTCTAGCCCTCTTGAGAATTTTGTTTTAGAAAAATGAATTTTTGTCTTGGAGAAATACATAATTTCCCGAATTTAGTAACCAAGGTTACTAGACAACCTTGTTGGTGATAAGCTCTGTGAGGAAGGGATGTTGCCTATTTCACGCCAGTGCTTAGAATATGTCTTGCACAGAGTAGGCTCTCAGAAAAGATTTGTTGCATGAATTTGGATTCTGGATACAAAGTTGTTTTACAGACTCATCTTGTTCCCATCAGTTCTTGCTTTTGCACATTCAGCTTGTCAGGGCTTAACCTCCTCCTACCCTCTGCTTTGCTTGGCCCTTTATCTGGGCAACAGCAGCTCGACCCTCTGAGTGACAACCAGTCTTGCCTTCCCTGCATGACCTCCAAACACCTCAGGTTTCCTTTCATGAAAGAACAAAGTACTGCAGCTATGGAATACCACTCCACTTGGCCACTGAACAAGGGTGGAGGACCACCTCTGAGGCACCCTCAGTGATTTCAGTGATGAAGGAGGTGCTAGTAAATGTGCAATTGAATCTACAGCACTCAACAGTTTATGGTGTACTTTTATACCACTGTCTCTGTTTTATGGGTAAAAATACAGACATGCATGGAGAAATGACTAGTTTCAGCTCACCAAGTCTGTAGGTATGGACTGGAACTGGGACTCTATCTTTTACCCAGAGACTACTCGCCTTACCTTCTCATCTCATACTATCTGGGGCCCAGTGTGGTGCTTGGCGCATGGTAGACACTAGATAAGCATTTGTTAAATTTGTTGAAATTGTTGAGTTGCCACTGGCTAATTTCAGCTTTTTACCCAAGTGTAGCTACTCACAGTGGCTATATTTACTGAACTGTCAACTATTTAACACAAAAGAGACTGTAGGAAGTAGTGAATTGATCATTGGAAGCTGCCAAACAGAAGTGGCAATAAAAACTAATTTGAGAAGGGCAGCTTACAGGTGAATTCTTTACTGCATTGATCAAGAAGATGAACATTGGCTTTCCCCTCCTCCCTGAGGTAGAATAAAATTTAAGGAGGGAGCTCTGAAATTTTATTGAATTTGTGATGAAATATTACATGTATTTTAAAGGCTTTTTTTTTAAGATTTTATTTATTCATGAAAGACAGAGAGAGAGGAGGCAGAGACACAGGCAGAGAGAGAGAGGCGACAGGCTCCCTGCAGGGAGCCCGATGTGGGACTCCATCCTGGAACTCCAGGATCACGCCCTGAGCCGGAAGGCAGAGGCTTAACCGCTGAGCCACCCAGGGATCCCCCATTATAAAGGCTTTTAATGTAGAGTCATTTTAGAAAATAATACTCAGGTAATTCAGATGTTAATTTGAACCTCAGTTTGCCATGCCTTTGCCAAATTCTACTCCAGGATGAAGCGGTAAAGTATTTTAGAAGTTCCAATGTTCTAGAATATTTTAACGTATTAAAATTTTTCTACCCCTAGGAGCTTTTGATCTTTTTAGCATATATATAAATATATATGTATTTTTTGGATAGTGAATTTTGTCATATTAAAAAAGTGACTTAAAAGAACAACAAAAGATTTAAGTCTTTAAACTGGTTTTGATGATTTGTATGCTATCGAATCCAGCCTTCGTGTTCCATCCGGCAGCCACATATAGCCTTTTTGTGATGAATGCAGACTGCCTCATGCTGCCTTTAGGCTTTGGTGTAATTCACCAAAACAAGTTTGGTGAGGTTGAACCAGAGTGAAGAAAAGAAAATGCAAAAATAGGGCTGTAAATAAGTGAAGACTAAACTCTAAAAAGCAAAATGCAAATTCTAAAATTATGCAATATAAATTGAGAAATATGTTGAGGCTAACCTTCTCTGGACTCAATTTTGTTTCTGTCCAGTTGTACCACTCTTACTGCTGATGTGCCACTGTGGAGAAGGCGCCAAGGGCTTCACCCCCATTCCTGGCACTATAGAGATGCTGCATCCTTGGAATAACGAAGGGGCGCCACCTGAAGACAAGGTCAGATAATTAGATGTCAGCGGTATTTATCTTCTTTCCTGACATTAAAGGGCCTTTAGAAAGTGTTTTTAGCATTTTAAGTCATGAGAGAGTAAAGTCATCATTATAGATTTCACTTACGTATCTTTGTTAAACAGAGAGTTCAAATGACAATATATTTTGTGTTTGCTGCCAGGGCAAGTTGAAGTGGTCTTGTTCTGCTGTGATAGGTCCTATGATAAGTTCTATGTTACAGAGAATGTTAAAAATGTTAAGAATGATACAGGGAATGAAAGATGTATTTTGCCATTTCTGTTTCGAACATCAATACATAGGGTTAGGAGAGGTAAACCCACCACCCCCATGAGAGTTGTAAAATGCTGCAAAACCTCCTCTCCTCCCTATTTAATAGATGGGGAGATCCCATTGTCTCTCTATTGCAACTTCACCCCTGGTCTCTCATCACTATCTACAATAAGCACTATGTTCAACAGGATACTATTTAGCATCAAGTGTCAGAGAACTCAGAATAACAGAGGCCTAAATATGAATGTGGGCCATTGAAGACCAGCATGATGATTCTCCTCCTTTCTCATTGTTCTTCCATGGATGAGTTCCATTCCCATACTGTCTTCATGCTCCAGACACTAGTTGCTGTGCCCACATTCCAACAAGCAGATAGGAGAACTGCTCTTAAAGAACACTTCCCAAAAGCTGCATACCTCATTTCTGCTTGAAATCACATTAACCAGAACTTAGGTAGCTATTCCAAGGAACAGTAGAAGCTTGGATAGATAGTCTTTATTTAGAGCAGCATGTGTCCAGCTAGGAAAAAAAGAAAAATGGTTTAATATAGAAGGAGGCATCAAACCCTAGAGGAAAGTTGATGACAATACAGTAATGACAATGAGCTGAGACCATATTTAAATAATTTTTGTTTTCTCCTTCGGTTATGATCAGCTCACAAAACAAGAAGTGGAATGGAGATCTTCAGAAGACTCAAATACAAGTTATTCAGCCCAAAATATTTCTCCTAATTTGCCTCTGCAGAAACTGCTCATTGCTAAACATGTCCACTTAGCTCAGATCACTTTACCAACTGTACTGACCCTCCATCCTTCTCAGTTCTAACTGTATTTTCCCTCAGGTGGTACCATTGCACTTAACGGCAGATCATGGAGAGAGTGTAGCAGCAGACATCAGACTGGGAGTGGTAACTACCAAGGAAACCACAAAAGAAAGTAGCTCTGCCCTCATCAAAGACCATCATGAGATGTCTGAGATTGATGGAAGATGGGAAGAACACAGAAGCCTTATTTCTGGTGGAGTTACCCAAGTGACAGGAACAACAGGAGCCAACATAGGTGCTGAAGCTCTAAGGATCACAAAAGCCACAGGGTCTTCCAGAGACTTGGCTGGAGCTCAAGTGGCTGCTGCTGCAGTGAACGAAGAATTCTTAAAAAGTTACTTCACTGAGGTGAGGGTTCATTTATATATGCTGGGGTGATGGTGGACATTTATATGTGAATGTGGTATTATTAAGGTAATCGTTGCCTTGGACCTAAATAGAACTTTGTCATTTTTTAAGAGAATGATTATAGGCAGTGAGGAAAGACAGATGTGGCCCATTTGATGGGTCAGCCCAATTACATGGTGATAACGAATGACCCCACCATCCTACTTCTTGCAGAAGCTGACTTCTCACATTCTTGTTTCTGTCAGTTGACACAACTCTGCTTTTCCCCATGTTGTCTTCATGGGAAGATACATGCCGAGAAAACAGACGGTACTGGGCAGGTGCCATCCCTGGAGAATGGGGAACAGAGCCACACAGAACCAGCCAATGACACACTCCTAAAGCAGCTGCCTTTTCTGTGCTCATATTTCATTGGTCAGAACAAGTAACATGTCAAAGCCATATGTCAGTGGGTCAGAAAGCCCAGTCCATCTGTGGGAGCAGACTTGCTAGGGATGAGCCTGCTAGGAGTGGAGAGAATATGTGACCTAAAAATCACAATCTGTGATGTCTGTTTAAATTTTGTCTCCTTGGCTTCACTATTGAGGCGATTCATAAAAAATCAGGAGGAAAGTTGTAGGAAGGATGATGGGATGCATTCAGAAAGCTCACGCCTGGAATGAGGAATTAGAAGAAGACTGGAGGGACGCCTGGGTGGCTCAATGGTTGAGCGTCTGCCTTTGGCTCAGGTCATGATCCTGGGGTCCTGGGATCAAGTCCCACATCAGGCTCCATAGGGAGTCTGCTTCTCTCTCTGCCTATGTCTCTGCCTCTCTCACTGTGTCTCTCATGAATAAATAAATAAAACCTTAAAAAAAAAAAAAAGAAAAAGAAACAGGGCTGGTTAACTTTCTTGAGAACAAGGCCCACATGGCCCACCTGGGATGGGCAGAGTGTTGGTTGGGCATCTGAAGGACCCTTGAGACCAGTGAAGGGATGAGCTCCTAGAAGGAGGTCAGTTTATTTCTGTCTCCTGTCTACATGGTAGCAAATTACTGGAGTGCTTTTCCACTTCCTGTCTTCTACCCCCTCGCTTCTTTGAGACCATCTGCCCAACCAAGTTTGCATGAGGGGAAGATGATGATGCCATCAGTATCAGGAAAAGCATTTCTCCTCATCCCCTTTCTGCCTTACAGCCAGGCCCTACCCTGGGGTGCCCTATTAGTTTCATCTTGATAGTTCTCCCTCTCCACTCTAATCCTGCTTGAGTCAGACTTGGTTGTGTGTGTATGTGAGAAATTTTGTATTCAGAAATCATTTCAAACTTACCAGAGAATTTCCAAGAACAATAGAAATTTTGAACTCCTGTATATTCTTTACCCAGATTACCCAATTATTAACCCTTTGCCACATTTGCTATTTGGTTTCCTAATCTCTCCCTCCCCCTGGCCCTCTTTCTCTCACACACACACATACATGCGTGTGCACATAAGTATACACACGCATATTTTCTTACATAATACAGTGAATAGATTTAAGTGCCATATTCCATATTTCAATTTTGCCAATTATTGCAGTAATATCTTCTGTAGCCATTGTTTTTCCCATCCCAGAACCAATCCTGAGTCCTGTCTTTCTTATCTCTTACAATACTAATACTTTTTTAAGAATCCAGGCCAGCCGTGTTGTAGGATGTCCTTCCATTTGTATATCTCTGATGTTTTCTTATAAGGAGACTCGGGTTATACATTTGGGCCAGAAATATAGTCTTACTCTTAAGTGAAGTTGTGTCACTAATTCTGTGCCTCTGTTTTTATTTCTATCTTAGAAAGCTGCCTCTTACACTGATGAAGATGACATTCACACAGGCAAAGATTGCCTTCTGGTTTATTCTCAGGAAGACACTGCATCTCTCCATGGTTCCATTGGCTGCTGCAGTTTTATTGAAGGAGAACTTGACGATGGCTTTCTAGATGATTTAGGGTTTAAATTCAGGACACTAGCTGAAATTTGCTTGGGTCAAAAAATAGATATGGATGTGGAAATGGAGCAGAGACAAAAGCATGCGGGAGAGTCAAGTATGAAAGCAGCTTCACATTCATTCAGCGAGCAAACTAATATTAATTCGGAGAATGCTTACTTCTCTGGTAGTAGCTTTCAAGTTCCAAAACCTGTGGATGAAGCAAATGCAGAGAAAGTAACTCAGGAAATAGTCACTGAAAGCTCTGTATCTTCTAGGCAGGGTCACAAGGTAGCTACGCTGCTCCCTGATCCACTGGCTTCTGGTAACGTTGTAGTGACAGAAACTTCCTATGGTACAGGCTCCACTATGCCACCGAGCACTGTAGTCCTAGGCCCTGGCCAGTCCCAGGCCCTAATTGTGACAGAGCGTGTGTATGCTCCAGCCCCTCCCTTGGTAGAGCAGCGCTATGCTAACGACACCAATGTCATGGTTACCGAGACAATAATACAGCCTAACGGGGGCTTCCCTGGTCCTCTGGAAGGTACGCAGCATCTGCCAGATGGACGTTATGTTGTGGTGAGGGAGAGAGAGAGCTTTCTTGCCCCCAGATCAGGTGCACAGCCCACCCTGGCCATGCCCGGTGTAGCTGTAGGACAGAACATGACAGTGACAGAAAGGGTGCAAACCCCTGCCTCCAGTTACTGGATTCCTGCCCAAACCTCTGTGATGGCCAGAAAGACAGAGGTTTCTGGAGCTGGAGTCCGTGGCCCCCTGCCAAATTGCAGTTTAGAGGAGTCCGGTCATTCTAATTCTATGCTAACCGGTCATTCTAATTCTACGCTAACCGCATCCTCCACCAGGGTCTCCAAGCACAGCATCGTGCAGCATTCTTACTCCTAAACCACAGCATACCACAGCCCGACCCAGAGTTTAGCTGGCAGTGACTGGTTTTCGTGTTTTCAACGAGCCTGTCTTTTGATGAGCCTGTAGACATGAGAGATGTACACCCTGGGCTTGAAACTCCTCTCAATCACTAATGCCCAACAGGTTGCCCTGTGCCAGCCCTAGATTGCACTGCAGAGATGCTCAGGGCTCCCTGATGGCTGCGTCCCGATGCTGTGTCTTAAGTGCCTTTTAGTGAGTTATGACCAAACAATATTCACAAAGCAAGTTAAGTAGAGAATCAGTCCAACTTGTAAGAGTTTATACCAAATGGACACAGAGTATCCAGTGCCTTAGCTCTCCAGTAGAGTCACCCATAAACCTGAGTGGGCCCTTTGCGTCCTGCAGTGGTGTTTCCCATTGCCGTTCTATATTCTAGACCATACTGCTCCTGGCAGATTACTGACACCTCATTTATCCAAAAATAAGCGTGCAGTCTGGACAACTGTTTTGTTCATTTTCTTTAAGATGAGAAGCCTGGCCTTTTGAATCTGTCTTAGGTTGATTGAGTTTTGGAACATTGACATGATAAAGAATACACATTGTATTTCTCTGGGCTTGTGTGTTGTATAACCTTAAAAATAGCATTATTGCTTCCCTGTGTCTCCGCAAAGTTGTGAAGATATGGAACACTTCAAATTCAGCTGAATAATCCAGGGAAACATTAACAAATATAAAATCATTTTACTTTTTATAATAATATAGTATTTTTTAAAACTCAGGATACATTATCTTCTAATTTTGTACAGCTAATTAACCACTAGACTGGATTCTCCACTGTGATAAGAACTTGCCTGTTTCAGCACTATATATCCTCAGCACATAACATGAGTGCCAAATAAATATCTGTGGAATTAAACCAAATTTTAGAAATCATCCTCTTTTATTTACAATTGCAGAAAATACTAGAAAATCGTATAATATCAGTAATTGTGATTTTGAAATTATGATTTTTATTCTATGTCCCAAAGTCCCTGACTGTCCAGTCATGACTTACTGTGAATATTAAATATTCAGTTGAACAATTGACCTGAATTTGTACAACATCCTTGCCTTTCATTTTGAAAACTTATTTGGATGCTTCGGCTTCTAAGTATATTGTACTTTTATGACTCCTTGAAAAAAATAGTGCATATAAGGTTTTGAAATATATGTGCATAGCAGTATGTGGATATAGCTTATGTGAATATTTCCCACAACAAAATAATTTTCATAAATTTTAAAGACTGTAATTTTGTGATTTTTTTCAAGGTATTTTGATAGGGAAATGAATCTTGAAAAGTTCTTTTTTTAGACATGTTTTTGACTTGAGTTACGTTATACAAGAGATTGGTATGTTTTACGTTTACTATCTATGAGTAGGGATCCCTGGGTGGCGCAGCGGTTTGGCGCCTGCCTTTGGCCCAGGGCGTGATCCTGGAGACCCGGGATCAAATCCCACGTCGGGCTCCCGGTGCATGGAGCCTGCTTCTCCCTCTGCCTGTGTCTCTGCCTGTCTCTCTCTCTGTATGTCTATCATAAAAATTAAAAAAAAAAAGTCTGAGAAAGAATCAGAACTTTAAAAAAAAAAAAATCCTTTACTATCTATGAGTAAAAGGCAAGTATCTTTAAATATTGTAAGTGTGTGGCCAAGATGAAGGTCAATCTTCCGTGATCTAAATTTTTTACTCTCTACTTAGTAATTGTTGCTTTTTCTTTTCTCTTTTATACGTAGTAGTTATATTTTGCTATGTATGAAACAGGAATTTCACTACTGTGTGAAATGTGAATAGGACCTGTATACTCCAAAAATCCAAACTTGGTTTTAACTGTCCTCCTTGGACAGATGGAGAAAACCTAACCTGTCTCTTGTATGTAGCAGAGTCATGTTTTTTAAATGGTTTTTTGTACCTGAAATGGTGATTTGTATTAGGTTTTACATTTGTTCCTTGGGAAATGATATTTGTATATGCATCATCATAAAATATTTAAATAAAAAGATGACCTTTAGAGCAACCCCTTTCCATAATCTTTTTATTGCTCTGTCATATTTTACACGGACTATCGTTTTGCATCAGAGGAGAGAGCTCTCTGAAAGCAGGCGTTTTTGTTCGACTTCGGCATTTGAATTAGAACTGCTTATATCGGGCTCAGCCAGACTCCTTGGAAGAGCCTCATTTTCCCAAAGTCCTGGTTAAATTTTAATTTCAGATGTATTTTAGGGTGAATATGTTCCATAGTAAAAAATTATCTGTTGTTTATCTGAAATTCAAATTTAGCTGGGCACTCTGTACTTTGCCAAGCTAGCAACCCTGTTCCTAAAGGACTGGAATTTGCTCTCTGCCCACATTAGAGGAAGCTGTTGGGTTCAGCTAAAGAAAGCTTACACATCTAGCCCAGAGAGATGAAATCACTCAATCAGTGTCAAAAAGCTGTTTTAGTTGTTACATTTACGAGAGAAAAGATCAGAGTTTCTGCCTACAGTATAATGTCACGTTAGTAAATATTTCACAACACTGGCACATCAAGATGTCCCAAAGCATAAAGACCATGTAGTATTGTGTGACTTCAGGGTTCCCACCCCAAGTGGCAGATGGGAGCAATTTTTGGTTGGTCTCTACAGACCATGTTCCAATCACCACCACATCAAAATGTATACAGTAAAGATGTTGCTTATCAAGTAACACCTAGAAATGAGGCATTTCAAAAGACAGTGTTAAGATAATTACCTCCTTAACCTCCCCAAATTTCTTGGCTTCCCAATTATAGTGGAGTTCAAGTCTTCTATATCATTATGGATTTTTTTTTTTTTTTGGTCTACTGTTTCTATGAATTGCTGAGAGAGGGATATGAAAATCTCCGGCTGAGCCACCTGGGTGGCTCAGTGGTTGAGAGTCTGCCTTCAGCTCAGGGCATGATCCCGGGGTCCTGGAGTCAAGTCCCGCATCTGGCTCCCCACAAGGACCCTGCTTCTCCCTCTGCCTAGGTCTCTGCCTCTCTGTGTCTCTCATGAATAAATAAAATCTTCCAATCTCCATCTGATTATGGCTCTACCTACTTGTTTAGTGTTTTCTAGTTTTGCTACCTTATCTTTAAACTTGTTATACTTGTGTTAATGACTACAAATACATATAGCATTATTGTGCCTCCTCAAAGAATTGACCCTTTTATCATTATGGAATCTCTGTGATTATATTCTTGGTCTTGAAATCTGCTCTGCCTGACATAAATATTTCCACACTGGCTTATTATGCTTAGTGCTTTTTACTCTCAACTTTATAGTTCTTTTTTTTTTTTTTTTTTTTTATTTATTTTTTTTTTTTATAAATTAATTTTTATTGGTGTTCAATTTACCAACATACAGAATAACACCCAGTGCTCATCCCGTCAAGTGTCCCCCTCCGTGCCCGTCACCCATTCACCCCCACCCCCCGCCCTCCTCCCCTTCCACCACCCCTAGTTCGTTTCCCAGAGTTAGGAGTCTTTATGTTCTGTGTCGCTTTCTGATATCTCCCACACATTTCTTCTCCCTTCCCTTATATTCCCCTTCACTATTATTCATATTCCCCAAATGAGTGAGAACATACACTGTTTGTCCTTCTCCGATTGACTTACTTCACTCAGCATAATACCCTCCAGTTCCATCCACGTTGAAGCAAATGGTGGGTATTTGTTGTTTCTAATGGCTGAGTAATATTCCATTGTATACATAAACCACATCTTCTTTATCCATTCATCTTTCGATGGACACCGAGGCTCCTTCCACAGTTTGGCTATTGTGGACATGGCTGCTAGAAACATCGGGGTGCAGGTGCCCCGGCGTTTCATTGCATCTGAATCTTCGGGGTAAATCCCTAACAGTGCAATTGCTGGGTCGTAGGGCAGGTCTATTTTTAATTCTTTGAGGAACCTCCACACAGTTTTCCAGAGTGGCTGCACCAGTTCACATTCCCACCAACAGTGTAAGAGGGTTCCCTTTTCTCCACATCCTCTCCAACATTTGTTGTTTCCTGCCTTATTAATTTTCCCCATTCTCACTGGTGTGAGGTGGTATCTCATTGTGGTTTTATTCGACAAAGGAGGAAAGACGATCCACTGGAAGAAAGACAGTCTCTTCAATAAATGGTGCTGGGAAAATTGGACATCCACATGCAGAAGAATGAAACTAGACCACTCTCTTGCACCATACACAAAGATAAACTCAAAATGGATGAAAGATTTAAATGTGAGACAAGACTCCATCAAAATCCTAGAGGAGAACACAGGCAACACCCTTTTTGAACTTGGCCACAGTAACTTCTTGCAAGATACATCCACGAAAACAAAAGAAACAAAAGCAAAAATGAACTATTGGGACTTCATCAAGATAAGAAGCTTTTGCACAGCAAAGGATACAGTCAACAAAACTCAAAGACAACCTACAGAATGGGAGAAGATATTTGCAAATAACATATCAGATAAAGGGCTAGTTTCCAAAATCTATAAAGAACTTATTAAACTCAACACCAAAGAAACAAACAATCCAATCATGAAATGGGCAAAAGACATGAAGAGAAATCTCACAGAGGAAGACATAGACATGGCCAACATGCACATGAGAAAATGCTCTGCATCACTTGCCATCAGGGAAATACAAATCAACTTTATAGTTCTAATGTATTTCTTATACATATTGAGATAGGTCTTGCTCTCTTATCCATTTCAACACTTTCTGACTTTGAATGAATGGTTTTAGTCTACATGCCACAATTTATATTGATGAGTGTAAACCTGCCATCTTGGTATTTGTTTTCTCTTGGTCCCATCTGTTTTTTCATCTCTTTGTTCCTTTCCTGCCTTCCTTTGTGTGTTAAATGTTCTAGGATTCCACTGTAGCTCCTTTACTGACCTTTTAACTGGTTGCTCTTTTGGAAATCCAATTTAAAAAATCTGCTAACCCAAAAAAACTTTCCAAGAGAGCAGAAGAGAAAGGAAGCAGTTTTATTACTGAATAAGCACTATACCAGGATGCCATGTGCATCATAAGCAACTCATAAAGAATTGTAAAGACAGAAATCTCACTATTATAAAGCCAGGCAAACACAACCCATTACATGCATGCTCACAACATGATGAGAACATCCTGAAGCAAGACTTGCCAGTACCATTGGTCATACACAAATCATCTTAAATTCACCTGGCAATTAGGTAGCCATTGTGTTGCTGATTGCCTTTATCCAAAGAAATAATAAGACTTGTGATATCTATGATAGGTAGCTAGTTACAATCTGGAGGCAGATACCCAAGGAGAAGGGGAGATAGAGGTGTTATCTTCCTTGATGTTCTCATCTTTGATGTTCAAAGAGATAACTCTCAAGTCTGAGAGAAAGACATTGCTACTTGTGAAGCTGACAAAAAGCTCATTTAGTTTAAAAATTTCTATAGTGCCTGAAAAGGGCAGAGAAAGAATTTGTAATTATAAGTTTTCTAAAGTAAATGCTCTGAGAAAGAGGAGAGAGGAGGGACAATCTGTCCCCTTTTGTACCCAGAAAATTTTAATTTTTCTCTCTTAGATTTGTCCTTACCCACACCTTAGGGCTCTGTTCCTTGTGGCAAGTGGTTGGTTACCAATTGGATAGCACAAATTTAGACCATTTCTATAGCTGTGGAAAGGTTTTTTGAGGGGGCAGCACAGCTCTAGAACTTAGAGTATGTATCTTTTTTTAAAAGATTTTATTTATTTGCTAATGAGAGACACACAGAGAGAGGAAGAGACATAGGCAAGAGGGAGAAGCAGGCTCCTAGAGGGGAGCCCGATGTGGGACTCGATCCTAGTACACTGGGACCACGCCCTGAGCTGAAGGCAGATGCTCAACTGCTGAGTCACCCAGGCACCCTTAGTGTGTATCTTTAATTTATCATAGGCTTCCTTCAACTATTCTACTACTTCAAAGACAATGTACATAAACCTTGAAATTTCACTTTGTGGATCTTTTTGTCACTAGATCTCTGACCTTCACATTCAATGCTTATGAAGAGGCCTTCATTCATTGTCTCCTGTCTCCCACACTTTCCCCCATACTCCTGCCCCACTGGCTATAGTGCATTATTGGCACGAATATTCTGAAACCTGTATCAAGTCCATGAGTGATAGGAAATAGACTTCTTATTACAGATTACACAGATTACAGAACTTCCATCAACCCATGCACCAAGTAGAGAAAATGAGATGAGGAAGTTGTGTCTCAGCTAAAATCCAAAAGTTAGCCCCTTCCTGAACATTTTCCATTTGCATCTTTATGCCCACTCTCTATCCTTCATTTTCACCTTGTTCTGAGACCCAGGAGCTCTCCTTTTAGATGCTTCAAGGGGTATCCTTGCCCTCTGGCTACAAGTTGATCGTGGTCAGTGGGAAGCAATGTCTGGAAATGCCAGTAAGAAAAATACAAGGTCAGAGCATGTCTTCCCTTCTTTTCCTCTCCCAACACCTGCCAGGCATCTCTCTCTGTACAGAAACTCCTTTCCTGGATTTTAGGACCTACTTCTTCTCCTTGTTCCTCAAGGCCTGTTAGTGGTGATGGCTCCCTCCTCAACTATGTCAGACTCAGGACCCTGGACTATCCCTTGAGGCTTTCCTCACTTGCCTCCTTCCTGTATAGAATCCATTAAACTCTCCTCACTTCCATCTGCTTCCCCCTGGGACACACAGTGACATAGTAAAAATCCTGTTGTATCAGTCTGCTTGGGCTACCATAACCAAGTCCCCAAAGACCGAGGGATTTAAACCACATTTATTTTCTCACAACGCTAGAGGCCAGGAGTCCTGGATCAAAATGTCAGCAGGGTCTGTTTCTTCCAAGGCCTCATTCCTTGGCCTGTAGATGGCAGTCTTCTTCCTGTGTTTTCACATGGTCTTCCCTCTGAGCATATCTATGTCCTAACTTCTTCTTGATCTAGGGCCCATCCTGATGACTTCTTTTTAACTTAATTACCTCAGTAAACACCTTATCTACAAAAATAGTCACATCCTGAGGTAT